TATTTTTTGATGATTAGTCTAAAACATTCAATACAACCATTAAAAAGTAACACCCATCGTCGGGTATCGAACTCCCGGTCGCCCATTGCCCGCACCTATTCAAAAATTTGAGGCGGTTTAGTCAACTAGGCGATAACGGATCGACGTGAAATGGAGTAAAAATAGCATACAAAAGACTCGGGCAATGGGCGGGACTTATCAGAAGAGACCTTCACGCATTGTTGCTTATGAGAGAAATGAGCTAAGCGCATTTCTCTGTGAGACATTGTTTGCCTATGCTTTCATGTGTCACAAGGTTCATCTCACCATGCATTTGCTATCGCGGCAGTAAACTGAGGCAATATTTGCGTATTCATGGATTAAATCCATCAATCGAGTTCTGATTTTGGCTCATATATCCGTAACGGGTCCTCCAGAGCAATTTTCCACCTTGTACGATGGTTATTATTTCTTTATATCTATGTTTAAAATTTGAGGTGGGATAATGGCGGCTTCTCAAGAGCAACGAGGTAGGCGATCTTTTGCACCAACGAACAGAAAACTGATGGCGAAAAATAACCAATCGGAACCTCCCAAAAAAAAGAATTTGCCTAAAAACGGAACTTCGTGGTTCTGCGCAGATTTACCAGTCAGACACGACATCTCAAGGTGGAAAAAAACTCGCTGAAAGCGAATTTTAGCAATCAACACAACTTGACGTAGAGACATGATTGGCTAAAAAATACAACGGTTTTTGATACAACGGAAAATCAACCAAAAATCGGAGACTGGGCGAAACGCTCAAGGTCGCAGAGGTATAGGGAATCCCATAGCGAAAGCAACGGAACGATTCTAATATCATGGGGAACTCCGTTCCCATGACAAAAAATTCAAATAAACATCAGCTGATAGCAAACAAAGGTTACCAAGGAAACCAAGGAATGGAACTTTCATAAAACAGATTAGTGGATAACAGCGTAAGTAGGGCACTTACGTTAATTACCGTTTGTAAGTAAACGGTAAGTGCGATTTGACCAAAAATCTATATAGTTCTTTATAAGACCAAAATGGACAAAATTACAAAATTTGAATAGGCTAACGTAAATCTAACAATAGTTATCGTGAACGAAAGAATTGACGACATAGGTCCGGTAACTATTATAGGTGGGATGGGATTCCAAAAAAACAAAAATAAGATTTTTTTTACAAAACTTCGGCTCAATCCAAAGAATGTCAGTTATCTTACTATAGTAAAAAAAATACGGCTTTTTTTGTGTGCAAGTCCGTGTCATTTTGCATTCTCATCGGTCCTTTCATTAACCAATCAGAAAACGTCATTGAAAATCCCCGGAAAATTTAAATGTATTCTGTCGTATATCATTTAATATTAAATAGGATAAACACGAATAAAAATGGGATGTACCAGAATAAAAGGGATGGATTTGAAGAAAAAGGGCATAATCAGTGTGAAACGGGAGTTATATTTATAAAACAGGATGGATAGGGATAAAGCGGGATGGATAGGGAACAAATAGGATGGATAGGGATAAAACTGAATATATCCCAGTATTGACTGGGGTAAAACGGGATATCTTCATAGTGACCGGGATAAAACGGGGGAATTTTACCTAAACAGGATTGTCATGGATAAACGGGAGGTACCTACATTAATAAACCGGGATAACAGGAAGGATATCGATCTTTGTATATCGATCTTCGGTATATCGTTTGATTTAAAGCAGTATTGACTGGGATACAACCGGATTTCTTCACAGTAACCGGGATAAAAGGTAGGAATTTTACGTATACAGGATAGTCATGGATAAAACGGGATGGAATTTTATTCATCAACCGGGATAACAGGAAGGGTATCGCTCATTGTATATCGATCTTCGATATATCGTTTAATTTTGAGCAGTATTGACAGGTATAAAACGGGATTTATCGATATGATCCGGGATAAAAGGGAGGAATTTTATCTAAACAGGATTGACAGGGATAAAACGAGATTTAGTGATATTAACCGGGATGAAAGGAAGGATATCGCTTTTTGTATATCGATTTTCGATTTATCGTTCGATTTCACGCAGGGATGACAGGGGTAAAACGGGATTTATTGATATTAACCGGGATAAAAGAGAGGAATTTTATCTAAACAGGATTGACAAGGATAAAACGGGATGACCCGATGGGACCGATAGGACCCGGGACAGACAGGATGTACCTACATTCACTTACCGGGATAAAAGGATCGATATCGCTCTTTGTATCTCGATCTTCGATGTATCGTTCGATTTGAAGCAGGATTGACAGGTATCAAACGAGATTTATTGATATAAGCCGGGATAAAAGGGAGCGATTTTTACCTAAACAGCGGGCCGATTATTGAAATTTATAGACAAAGCTATAGACAAAGAAGACATAAGGAGAATACGGCGATCCTATTGGTTGAAATGGGTGGTTTTTATAGACTGAGGGGGTAAATAATGGACTAACTATCGGGTCTCTCGTGGGTTACCGTTAGTTAGTCTATTACCTAGTCCTTTGTCCATTGCATCCACCCGCTTCCACCAATAGGATCCCTCCAAATCCTTTTTGTCTTCTTTGTCTATTGCTTTTTCCATCAATTTCAATAATCAGCCCGCAGGAATGACAGGAATAAAACGGGATGTACCTACATTCATTAACCGGGATAAAAAGAAGAATATCGCTGTTTGCACATCGATCTTCGATATATCGTTTGATTTAAAGCAGGATTGACAGGCATATATCAGGATGTATTAATGGTAACCGGGATAAAACGGAGGAATTTTACCAAAACAGGATAGTCATAGATAAAACGGGATGTACCTATTTTCCTAGAGGAACCTCACTGGAAATTCATGCGAAAATCGGAGTACAGTAGCTGTGTGTGAAATGTGTGCTTATTGTGTTTTTTCAGTTATTTTACTTCAGTCATTGATTCTGATTTAAAAATTGACTATCGTTCTCTTACATTTGAATGATGAAAAATTGCTTTAAAATCAAGCTTAGCCTTTTGAAAATAATTTTGTAAAAACAAATAGGTACTTATGTGTGTGTTTCAAATGACAGTCAGGAGGCGATAGAGTGAACAACCTTGCGTCAAGCATTTTCAAAATGACTGTGTCCCAAATGGGGTCTTATGGCACGAAATGTGGAAAGTGTGCCTATCGTCACACGGAAAAAAATTAAATTGCTGATTCAACAATTCAATTGCTAAAAACAGTGAGTGCAATGTTTCAATGTAGATTTTACAACAAAAAAATGCTACTTTAACCACCCCCGCGTTTGAATTAGTTTACAATGTGGTTAGAGTAGCATTTTTTTGTTGTAAAATCTACGTTGAAACATTGCCCTCACTGTTTTTAGCAATTGAATTGTTGAATCAGCAATTTATTTTTTTTCGTGCACTTTTCACATTTCGCGCCAAGACTGCATTTGGGACACTTTCCAAAACTACGTTACCAAAAATATGTTGCCCGTTACCTATAGCCCTGGCGCACAAGAACGCGTGTAAAAGGCAGCATGTATAGTTTCGTTTTT